ACAAAGACTCCTGGCCATGCTGAATTTTTATCGACGATTTCTTCCCAACGCAGCGGTGATGCAAGGTCAATTGTAAGCGGTTATCAAAGGCAACAAAAAGAAGAACAAAAGTCTTATTGTCTGGACGCAAGAAGCTGAGACTGCATTTGAACAATGTAAGCAAGCAATTGCCGACGCAGTAACCCTGGCACATCCACTACCAGAAGCACATTTAGTTCTAAACGTAGACGCCAGTAACTTCGCCGTTGGTGCAACAATTCATCACGTTTGCAACGAACAAATGAAACCATTAGGATTCTACTCCAAGCGGATGACAGACGCACAGAAGCAATATATCAGTCGGTAAAGCATTTCAAGCATATTATAGAAGGAAGACAATGTACTATTTTAACTGATCATAAACCGATCACATTCGCTTTTTTGCAAAAACCTGACAAAGCATCTCCACGTCAACTTCGACACCTCGACTTCATTGGTCAATTCACAACGGACATACGTCACATCTCAGGAAGGGATAACATAGTGGCTGATCTTCTATCTCGTATCGAACTGATCAGCAAAGACGGAGATATAAATTTTGAATCATTGGCTCAAAGTCAAAAAACAGATAATGCGACCAACGATTTCTTAACCAGCAACAATACCGCGCTCAAACTCAAGCTTATACCTATTCCAGGCGCAACAATATCCATCGCCTGTGACATATCAACAGTGAATGCACGTCCATTCATTCCTAAATCATTTCGACAACACATTTTCAATGCCGTGCATTGCCTTTCACACCCAGGTAAAAAAGCCACTGTTAAACTCATCAGTAAGCGGTACGTGTGGCCGAATATGAAGCAGGACATCACTCGAATGGTACGAACATGCATTCTGTGCCAATGTGCAAAGGTCATTAGGCACAACAAAACAGCAATTGGCAGCTTCACAACGCCAGAACAACGGTTCGCAGCAATACATATCGACCTAATTGGACCACTACCTATCAAAAATGGATATACATATTGCTTAACCTGTATCGACCGATTTAGTAGATGACCGGCAGCAATCCCAATTGAATACATTCATGCTTCAACAGTCGCTACTGCACTAATTAATGGTTGGATAACACATTTCGGAGTACCAACGCAAATCACCACTGACCAAGGTCGTCAGTTTGAATCCCAACTTTTTAACGAGCTAGCACGCACACTAGGCGTAAGACACTTGCGATCAAGTCCTCGGCACCCACAAAGCAATGGCATGATCGAACGCGTCTACCGTACGTTAAAAACAGCCTTAAAGTGTAAAAATGACCAACACTGGACCGAAGTACTTCCACTTGTCATCCTTGCCCTAAGAAATACTCACAAGGAAGATCTGGATGCCACACCCGCAGAAATCGTATATGGTAGCGCACTAAAGCTGCCATGTGATTTTTTTGAGGAAGTCAAAGACGACCAAGTATGTTCAGAATTCGTGAAACGCTTCAGACAAGCCATGAACAACATTCGCCCCGTCCCAGTATCACAACATTCAAAGGACAAGGTTTTTGTACAACACCAGTTACAAAAATGTACCCACGTTTTCCTGCGCGATAATACAGTACGACCACCTTTGAAAGCACCATTTGAGGGGCCATACAAAGTTGTAAGTCGGCCTGATAAGACATTCGAACTACTGGTAAAAGGAAAACAAGTACGCATAAGTATTGACCGCCTAAAAGCAGCATTCTTACCGAACAGCGAACTGAAGGCGAATGTAAACGACACACAACTCTCCGATACAATCACGTCAAGTGAAAATACTGGCAAGGCAACACGAAGTGGCAGAACCACACGTCTGCCCCAAAAATACGTTACCTTCAATCTATCGTGATATCGTCCATAACTCAATCACTGGCAGGGGAGTAATGTGGTGTCCACCCAAACGTATTTACGATACGTAAGTGAAACGTAAGTAAGCAACAAGTACAAACAAACAACACATCTGGCATCCCTGATAGATATGAAGGGGACGGATAAAAAGACACACAAGAAAGAGGTAGATAACTGGTGCGCAGTAGTAGAGAGATTTTTTAGTAGAACGTGTAAGCAAAAATTTTAAGCAAACAATTTTGTAACTTTATATTGTAAAAATAGAGTAGTAAAAATTTTAAGTTAAATTCATTGTATTTTAAATTTTGTTACTTGTGGATTTAAAAGTGTTAAGAACACATTGTCAATATTAACGACAATAATATACAAAGTAAAAATAATTGTCAATAGCAACGACATGTCCTTATACACATCTCACAATATTATTTAATGTTATTATAAAATGGTTTATATGTTTTTTTTTCTATATATTTTTTTTTTAATTGTGCTTTTAAATCACATTTTTCTAATGCTTTTTTTTTTCTTTGAGCATAAGAAAATTTGAGACTTCTAATTTCTTTTTTTTTTATTTTATTGGTCCTTGTACTTCTTGCGATCACAAAATAATTTCACTTTATTCGCATATTATTTTTCACTCATTGCTCACAATGTTGTTTAATTTTATTATATAACGTTTTATATATTTTTTTTTGATACTTGTACTTTACAAGTCACATTTATCATTTAAATTTGAAACATTTAATTTTTGAATGTTTCAATTTGAAACTTCACACATTTACATTTAAATTTGAAACTTTTAATAATCACATTTTTTTTATATTGTATTTGGTCCTTCCACTGCAATTTTGCAGTGTGGCAGTATCGCCATGTGATGGGATTTGATATAGTCTTTAATGAAAACACATTAATTTGTTTATATTATATGGAAACTTTATTTTATTTATTTACTCATTTACTTCTATATTATTATGATCTTTACCAGATCACGTTCTACAATAGACTGTTCTCTGAAACTTATTCTAAATCTTACAATAATTTCATTATTTATTTTTAAAAGATATATTTATCTTATTCTAACAATAGTTAACTAAATCTAACAATATTCTCTTAATTCTAATTAGTTATTCTTATATACTTTACAATTATAATTTCCATATACTTCCTATTTATAAATGACACATTACTTAAGACAAGAAATGCATAGTAAGTACTTACTGTGCATTTGTTTGTCATGTGTCTCACATTCACATGTGTTCCGATTTGTGTGATCTCAATATATTTGACACCACCTGAGCTCTTAACCGAATTTTAAGTGGCAAATTATTTATGTCAGAAGTATCATTTTCTGACTCATGCCATAAATTACAAAAATGAAATGGTTATGAAATGAATTCAATAGTCATAAACGGCGGCTTTAACATTGAGTAAGGTCAACTATAGATATACCATTACAGATAGACTTTTGTATTTGGGACACACTTTGTCCTTTGCCCAATAATCAACTTCGCCCACGAATTGCACTTGGTCTTCTACTTCAAAATATCAATTTTTGATAAACTTGGCTTTAATGCAATTTTCTTTGAGTTTTTACATTAAAAGCAACATCAACTGATGAAGCTTTTTCATAATTTTTTCGATTTAAATTGTCCTCTTCTACCTGTAACGACGATTAGAGTATTAATTTTACCCTTTTCATTTGTATTGTACCAGATGGTTTTATAATTGTTGAATTTAACTAGCAAACTGCTAATAATGCAAACGATTTTCAATTTGTCGAACAATTCCTCACATTGTTGTTTAATTTCTGATGCTAATTGATTAACTTTTACAACATAACCTGCTACGGTTTCATCATCTTTCATTTTCAATGAAAAATATTCTTCATAAAGAGTCATGACACGAATTTCAGAATTCTTTTCATAAATGCTGTACAATTTATCCATCATTCCTTTTGCTGTTGTGCATGTTAACACAAAATTTGATGATTCAACATCTAACGATTGAATACTAGCATTCATAGCTCTTCCTTCATTTCGTTCGTAAAGTTCTTTTAATTTTTTCTCTGCGGGAACTAAACCCTATATTAAACTCTTTGCCTTCATATATGCTATAATTTGGAACTTCCATAAATCAGTCAATGATGACTGGAAGCACGAAAATTGCAATGTATGTACACAAAAATGAAGTTATTTTCGCTAAGCAAAAATATTTTTATACGCTACAACGCGACGAAACACTTTTTCTTGTTTATTTATTGCGCAGTGTGCTGTGTTCTATACTCATATTTTAATGATTTTTTATGATTGCTTACTTTTATTGAAACTAGTTTTTTTGAAAAAAAAACTATTATTCAAAAAAGAATATACATACAGTGGCTTACAGCTTATTTGGTGCAGACCAAAATTTTTTGAAGTTTTATTTTTTTCAAAATATTTCGCAAAATTAAAAAAACAAAGTACACAGAGTTATTGTTCATAGTGTTTTAATTCATTTCCAAAAACAAAAATCCAAAAATCTTTTTCCATTTCTTAGTAATGCAACAAAAACCAAAAACAAATGAAAAATTTGTCACAGCTTAAATGATGCAGTCAAGAGTACCGTATTTTTTTTTTTTAAGACGGAAATAAAAATATTCTTATTTTGCGACTATTTGTAATCATATTTTTGAAGAAAAATACTAAAAAAATTAAAGTGAATGCATTGGAGCATTTAAAAAAAGGAATTTCCTAACGTAGTATAGCTGAAATGGTAAATCTAAGCTCTTCAACAGTTCAGTACAAAATTGTACACTTTTTACATAAAAATCGTGTTAAAAACATGGGACCAAAAGCTCTCAATCAAATTTTTACAGTAAAAGAATCGAGATGGTTAGTAAACTAAATTCGAAAAATACAACAACAAGCGCTCCAAAGTTGGAAGATGTGGACAAAAGAGACTTAGGAAAGCACATTTTAATGCAAGAGTAGCTCAAAGTAAGCCTTTTGTAAATTCAAAACAAGATCAAAAGTTGCCGTTTGCACTAGAGCACGTAAATTTTGTGGTTTCAACTCAGAATTGACCTTGCGCCATACGTAAGATCTCCCACTGAACCACTGTATATAACATACAAGTTTTTATCTGTCAAAATAAAAACTATTGGCATTGCCATCTTCGTTTTTTATTCTTCAATAGTTAATATTATAGGCATTATAACGTTTTTAACTAGAAACTAAACCACCACATCATTTATAATATAGTATAATATAATATAATAACAAGCTTTTTCTAGGAAAAAGGTGTCAGATCGATGAAATCATGTTAAAATATGTTATTAGAACCTAAGTGTGCTAATAATTTTGTTCTTCAAAATGTAGTACTGTTTTTGGTTTTTTAATTTTAAAAAGTTACATAATTGAGATAATATGTTAAAATAAAATGAATTTAATTGTAAATTAAGCATTTTATCTAAAAAATTTTTGTTGGTTACAAATCGCTACATTAATAGGGTAAAAACAATATTAAAGTTCAATATGCTTGTTGCCTCAATAATTATGTTAATCACTGTATACATATCTTTTGTATTATAATGTATCTTTTTTGTTAAATGACTGTAATATATTTACATTTATAATTTTTATTTATATTTCCTATATATGTTTTAACACAAATAAATTAAATCGCAATGTTGACATTGCGATGCTGTCATCTAGCATTAAGTTCTAAAATTGTTCTATCCAGGATCCTGTTGAAGAATTCGGTGCCTTCAACTATAAAATTTTCATATTTTCAATGTAATTAATTATTTAAGATTACATAACATACCTTGATATTAAATTGTTTAAGTGTATTTTCAAGGACTATAGCATTTCCTGAGAAATAAGCTGCAATGGCATTATGTAGCAAAACCAACTGTTTATGCATCACTTTAATCTACAACGATAGTTTGTATATTTTTCGAAACATTCTTAATTTTGTTCATTGTTACCCTATTTTCATCAAGAAACTGCATTTTGACAGAAACATCTCCTCTTAGTTTTTCATAGAGTTTTCTATGTCGTACAAATTTTTTTTCCACATCTTCGGAAAATTGATTTTGAAGCAATTCTGGCTTCGTACTTTCTAAATCCATACGATAAGCATCAAATTCGATTCTTAAAATAAAATTTATTGATGTAAGTTTACTTGATAAATATTGCTAGTTGTTATTATTGTTTCTAATTAAATGTTCAGTACCAATGTAATTTATATCATTACTTTTATAAAATATAAAATTTAATATTTATATGTACATATACCTTGCAGTTTCATATTGTCTGATAGTGATCAAAGTATCATCTATGGTTTTATTACACAATGTGTTAATAGAAGACATAAAAAAATTAAGAGCATTCAAAAGTAACTCGCCGTTCTTCGTTAGATTTCGTTGTGCTTCAGAATTACACGTAAATTCCTCCTGCAGTTCAGGACTTTTTTGTGCCAAATCTGCAAATGCCTCCGCTAAAGAGTGCTGCGTGCTGACAATATGATGAAAATGAGAGCTGAAAGCTCTTGTTAAACGTAGAATGGACAAATACTTTCGCTGTGTTTCTCTTAATTGTTCTATTTGTGCTTCTAACTCCGAGTCAACGGTTCGTTGTGATTTGCCCAATTTTTCAAACATAATTTGACGTGTACATTTATAAGTTGATATACTCCAGCTTTTAATAGAATCTATTTTAGAAGCACCTACGCGTACTAAACTTGAATCTACCGCAATTTTAGGACTAGATAGTACTATCGGCGTAGAAGGTGCTTAAAGTAAAATGGAATATTATAAAATGTATAAAAGCTTTTAAATTACCTGAATAATTCTTTAGGGCAAGGCTATTCGAAGGTTTGTATACTCTACTATCTTCTGTACCAGAATGTATAGCACTATCACTTTCATTCATTGAAGGCGTGTCTTTGAGCATTTCATGAATGCTTATTTGAGAATTGGACATATCTGCAACGTATTTTATGTATAAACAAATCTAATACAATTTAATTCCTTACTTTTACTTTGGACCGTACAAATATATGGTAAACTAGCTACAAATAACTTTTTCTGTATGCAGTGTAATTGCATACAAACAAATATTACCAACTCTTACTTCCTTGAATAGGAAATTTTTACTTTCACTGAAGGATGACAACAAAACACAACACAGGGGTGGTATATGTATATATTATTACATTCAAAAGAGATTTGTATCATAAAATTCATTAACCCACTATTGAGGCTTGAGTATGATATAAATCAAAGAATACTTGTACAAGAACAGCAAATTAAATGTAAACAAAACAAACACCAGCACACTCTCAAAATAATTTACTACTACCAGACCAAGCATGTTGTTTTTTTGTTGTAAGTCGACCCACCACGAGTGAAAAGTTTCACCACGCCTAACGGAACGTTTCACCACGATCGACACGAAGAGCACAAATTGGATATTGTTTTGGTTTTTTGACAAAAGAAATCAAATCAAACGAAGTTATAAAAAGTAGTGAGTAAGTAGTAAGAAAATTAATTACATTTATTATTTCAGTTATTAATATTTGAAGATGGGGCAGAATTGGGTACTGGGATGTAAGGTATTTAAAGGAATATATGAATTTCCTAAAAATAACGAAAGAAAGTAAAAAAACAATAATTTTTTAATTGTGGATTTCAAATATATGTTTTATGTATAATGTGATTTGTTTTTTTTATGTGTATAATAAATAATTATTATTTATTATACACATTATTATTATTATGTGTATAATAACTATGTGTATAGTACGGCAAAAATATATGTGAGTATATAAATATATTTTAATAAAGTTTACTTATGTGTTAATTTGGTTTTGTTAAATATGTGAAAAATCTAATAAGAATTAAAAAAAAATAAAAATTGTATACTATTTGATGGTAAAAAGCGTGGAGTATGTAAATTAAATTTTAATGTTAAATTATTCATATTCAAATGTATTAATAGTTTAAAAACTTTTAATATGAATTAATTTATTATTAATTTAATTCAACAATTTTATTTTTAAGTAAAATTTTAATTATGTATAACTTTTATTTAATAAAATAACTTTTAACATATTTCACAATTAACAAATTTTACTATTTCATATGTTCATAATAAAAACACTGAATAAAATTAAATCGTATATATCTTGGAATTGTTTCAAATAAGAAAATAAGTATACTTATAAGTATAAGTATCTTCTTTGGAATATTTATATGTACTTCGATTATTCAATTAGATTAATCGTTTTATATTTTAAACAAATGCCTTTAATAAATATGTATGTTAAAAAGTTAAGCAAATGTTTTATTTTTAAATAAATTTGCATTAATGATGATGAATTATTAAACTATAACATTGTGCACTATTTCTGCATGTAGGGAAAATCTTTTAAAGGACAAACCAGCATACATACAAATTAAGAGTCAATATTATTTAACTCAAGTGATTTAAATTACGAATTATTTTTATAATTAAATCGCTTTATTTCGAGCATAGAAATTTTTATAATATGTTCAACTCAAATTATTTAAAAAAAAATCGATGCAATCATCACCATCAACCGTCCCTGGCAACTTCTCTACCAATTATAAAACCCCCTTCACAATACTTCGTATTTCGATGCACTAAAAAAAATTAATAGTAAAATTTTATGAAATATTTTCAATTTATATAGTGTACACTTTTTTTATTACATATATTTATTCAAAAATTATTTTAAATGAAATTGAAAAATATTTAACAAAACAGTAAACATATATAAACATTTACTTCTTCTATATTAATTCTTTTTGTGAATGGCGATTCTCTTTGCCAATTATTTATATAATAGAATTACTTTACAAAATTATATTTTAAGTCAATTTTAGTTCTGTACATTTAACAATTAAAACAGAAACATAACACAAAGCTAAAGATGCATTATAATAATTTATATTATTAATATGCATTAATATAATTATATTATAAAATATGGTTATTGCCTCTATTATATATATTTTTAGCAATAAATGATACACACAGTCCGATGTATTTTAACAAGTTTTTTACTTCACTTTATTATCTATAGTAATGAATAAATAAGAAAAGGAATATAGAATAATGACAGGCCAGAGTTGCCAGGCAATTAATATTAAAAAAGTACTTTACATAACAACACCCCCTCTTAAAGTGCTTTTATTATGTATAAAATATGATTTTAGTATTTCATTCCTAATTTCCGTAAGCAATTAACATGCTTTTCTGTAGTGAGTCCTTTGGTAAGGACGTCTGCGGGCATTTCTTCTGTTGGCATATATTTGATTTTAATAGTGCCGTCGTTAACATTGCTGCGAATAAAGTGATAACGAATATCAATGTGCTTTGTCCGTGGATGATACCTGAAGCTTTCCGTTAATTTTTGAGCGCTTTGATTATCATTAAAGATTTCAATTGTCTTACTTGTAACGCTAACATCATCAAGGACTGCCTTTAGATATAACGCTTCTTTTGTGGCCTCAGATATGGCCATATATTCTGATTCAGTGCTTGAAAGCGCTACTGTACGTTGCTTTCGAGCTTCCCAACATATCGCTGCTCCTGATATAATGAACGCATACCCTGAATATGAACGTCTATCGTTTAAGTCAGCGCCCCAATCAGCGTCAACCAGACTATACAATTCTTCATTGTTTTTCTCGTACAATAGACCATAATTGCTTGTACCTTTAAGGTATCTTAGAATTCGTTTTGCTGCTTTCCAATGTTCCACGTTATAATTTGAATTGAACTGGCTAAGAAAGTTTACAGCAAATGCAATATCAGGTCGAGTTGTAACAACTAAGTACATTAATGCTCCTATCAAGCTTTGATAGGGATACATTTTCATAACACCTTCATCAATTTTTTTTGGTTTTGTTAACTTAGTGTTTAATTCTATGGGAGTCTTCACTGGTTTACAGTCTTTCATATTGAACTTTTCAATGATGCTTTTTGCATACTTCTCTTGTGAAAGAAAAACTTGATGCTTGCTTAAATTTTAATGAAACTCGATGCCAAGACAATTACTTACTATTCCCAAATCCTTCATTTCGAAATCATTCGCAAGTGCAGCCTTTATTTCTTTTATACGAAACTTATTATTGGACGCTATTAGTAAATCGTCTACATATATTGTCATCAAAACAATGTCGTTGCCTTCACGCTTAGTGAATACACAAGGATCCTGTTGTACTGCACCTAGACCCATATTCTGTAGTTTCTTTGTCAATTTCATGTACCATGATAGCCCAGACTGACGGAGTCCATAAAGAGCTTTCTTTAATAAACACACAGGTGACTTACTTTATTTAATCGCGCTGTTTCTTTAACTTTTCCACACAATATTGTTGAAGTTTTTCCCACTGGTTTTGATGAAACAACTTTGTTCAGGAATGGTATAAGATAATCGGGAATTTCCATGAAGACACTCTCTTCGAGCTCTCTATTTAGGTATGCTGTAATGACATCCATCTGATGGATCTCCAAATCCATTTTTGCTGCCAGTGCCGCAAGTAGTCTTATAGATGTTGAACGAGCGACTGGAGAAAACGTATCATGAAAGTCTTCACCTGGTCGTTGTGCAAAACCCTTCGCTACTAATCGTACTTTCTGTTTCCCGTCATCTTTAGTTCGAAGCACGAATCTATTCCCAATAACTTTTCGTAATTTCGGTCTTTCGACCACTTCCCATGTTTTATTCTTTAGTTGTGCCACCATTTCGTCTTCTAGCGCCTTTGACCAGGAATTTGTTTCATCGCTTTCAAGTGCCTCTAAAATCGTTACTGGAGTTTGATATGTAGTGAGAAATGCCATTTCACAATCTTCAAAAACGTTGTTGTCAGGTTTATCATCTGAATGGTTTTCATCAGTAATTTTTCTTACTGAACTTGTATTGTCGTCTTCGTTGGATGATTCTTAACCATTCCGATTTGACGTGTGATATTCTTTTCGAGGCCTACCGCGTGAATTTGTGCGAATAAGTCTCGGACGACCTCTTCTACGAATGGAGTTTTCTGCTCGCGTATTTGTATTTTCTACAATTTTCGGATTGATCGACGGTTTCTGATTTTCAGAATTTTCGAACGCAATATCGATATAATCATTTGTTTGGCAGTCGTTTTCATTGTTAATATAAATGTTTTCGTATTTATTATGATAGATATTTTTGTTTACGAACACGACATCACGACTTATTGTTATATTTCGTTTTGTAGGTGACCATAGCCGATAGGCTTTCGCTTTGTTTGAATATCCAACAAACATGTAAGGTTCTGACTTAGAATCGAATTTATCTCTAGTCTTATCCTTTTTTAGGACATATGCTTTAGAGCCAAATACTTGAAAATGTACAATAGTTGGCATTTTACCAGTCCACAACTTGTGCGGTACTACATCATTCAATGCTTTTGTAGGACACCTATTCCGAATATAGCACGCTGTATTTAAGGCCTCTGCCCAAAAGTTTGGCCGAACTTCAGCTTGTTTCATCATGCAACGGGCCATTTCAACTAGAGTTCTGTTTTTACGTTCAGCAATACCATTTTGCTCCGGCGTATATGGAGCAGTTAAGCGTCTTTGTATACCAAATTTCCTCAAGAATAAATTAAATTCAGAATTAACGTATTCTCTACCATTGTCTGATTGTAAAGCCTTAATTCGTTTACCCGTAAATGTTTCTACTGCTCTTTTGTATTGCTTAAATACATTTAATACATCGGATTTTTGTTTTATAAAATAAACTTGACAATAGCGTGATTTGTCATCAATAAATGTTACGAAATATCTTGCATCCGAATTTGATGCTGTTCTCATTGGTCCGCACACATCACTATGCACGATCTCTAATAAATCACTTGTTCTAGTTTCTGTACTCTTAGGAAATGACTTTTGTGTTTGTTTTTCACTAATACAAATTTCGCAAGTCGGAAATTTTTGTTTAGGATTTAATTTTAATCCGTGTACTAGGTTATAACTAGCCAATTTTTTAAGATCATTTTCATTTATGTGGCCCATTTTCTGGTACCACTTTTCAATGTCACATTTTTCTTCAGCAACTTGTGCAAAATGATTTTTATTTTCAACAATAAAAAGATTTCCACATCTTTTCGCTCGAGTTATAACCTTCTGATATTTGTCCAATACGATTGCATCTGAAGGGCGAAAATGCACTTCATATCCGCTGTCTACTATTTTTGATACAGAAAGTAGACTTGTACGCA